GGACCCGTCCCCGCAGGCCCCGCCGGCTGAGGATCCGTCGCCGCGGAGGAAGCGCCGAGCGGGCGAGCTCAAGCAGCAGCCCGGCGCCTCGCGCATGCGCCCCGTCACGCGCCTTTGGCCCGGCCCTCAGGAGGGCAGGGGGACGGCCGCGCATGCGTCGGAGGGCCGGGTTGTCCCCCCAAGGGGATAGAGGGAGGGAAAGGCGCATCGCTAAAGTCAGGGCTTCACGACGACGTCAGAGGGAAGAGGCTTCCCCGTTTCTCTCATTTTGCTGATGGACCGGAGTGGGGGGAATAAAACGCGCGTGGCCTGTGGCCGAAGAGAAGGAAGAAGGGCGGTGTTTTCCTTTTTGTCCTGCTGGACTACATGCCGTTTGCTCCGCAAATGGCGGCCGTCAAATGACATCGGAAGTGACGTTTGCATGGGTGCGCCTTCTTACGGCTCCAACTCTAGGGCGTCCCTGCCCCGGCCCGGCCGGACCCGCGCCTGCGCAGAGCGCACGCCGTTTCTCGTGGCCTCGCTTGCAGAAATGCTGCGTTCCACAATTCTGCAGCTGCGCTGGGCGTGGTAGGGCGGCGCCCCCCGCGGCTTTCCGGGCTGGTCCTCCCCTTTGCAGTGCCTCTGGGCACGTGCAAAATGCTTTCCGCTCTGTTCTTCCTCGCAAAGCTTTGCACTGGAAGTCTAACCGTTTCCAAGGAGAAGTCCAGCCCGGCCTCTGTGCGACCCTCCCTGCTTGTGAAGAATGCATTTTATGAATGGGTTGATGCCTTTAAAGCGCTTCTTAGCAGGGGGCTTGCTAAGCCAGCCTCGCAGGGGAGCGGTGCACTGAGCCACGCAGGGGCGGGGCAGCGCCGCGGAAGAACCGCGTTCAGTTCTCGTTGCAAGCCGCAAAAATGCCACAGACTTGATAGGTGTAGGGTTTTCCTGCCGCTGCAATTCCGTGCCTCGCTGGTCGCTGACCGTCAATAAATACAGTTGCAATTCTTATTACCATTGCGAGAACACGCATGATAATTGCATGTCGGTTTGCTCGGCATAAATCCTTCCCCTCCCGTTTTTTTCCCCCTTCTACCCATGAGAAGGGAATAACCGCGATTGCAATTCCTGGTTCTGGCCCCCTTGCAATGCTGGTGGTCGCCTCAAAGAGAGTGAATCGTCTTAAAACCTGGGAGAGGTGCACCCGAAGTTCTCCGCGTTTTAAAGGCATGCCTGGATCTGGAAGCGCTAGAGACGCTTATTGTTCAGACCGCCCTTTAAAATGCGAGGCACGGTCGCCACGGTTGCCTCGGCCACCAAAATGCATTCTTCCGGGAATGGGATGACAGTAACTTAATTCCTTCAGTGCACAGTTACTTCCGTGCTTTTGAAAGATCCTGCAGAACTTCTTTGGACGAAATGAGAACTTCTGCATAAATGCGAAATTGAAGAAGTCAGTCTCTTTCTGTTGACGGAGTATGTGTCCGTATCCCAGAGTCCTGTGAAAAAAACCTTGGAAGAACCTATTCCTGTACTCATTTGCTGGACGAAGTTCTGCTTTCCGAAAGGCAGAAATCACTTTTCTGTCTTTAACGCGGACTGCTTTGCCTGTGGCCGCCAGGGAGCAGCCTCCGATCAAAATAAAGAGCCTTGAAAAGTCAAGCTTTGGAGGCATCGTTTCAGTTTCCTTGGCCCCAAAGCGCATCCATAGCCCGTAGTGACAGATCTTTGGGGACTGTTCCGTTGAGGCTTCAAGTTGAAGGACCCATATGTTTCATTATTCCCTTGCATAAACTCTCCCCTGCACTCAGAAAGCTAGCCTCTCAAGAAGAAAGGTTCCCATAGAATCTTTTCTGCTTTCCCCCTTATGTGTAAAGGTCTTTCCATGCAAAAGCACGTTCCCATTTCAGGGTAGTGAGAACACTTTGGGAGATCCCAACGCATGGCTGAGGCAGAAGGTGCTCCATGTGCAAAAACCGAATTACGCACGGCTTGGAACCGGGCCCTCCGAAACGCCTATTAGCCAAAGTCGCTGGGCTGACGGTAGCTCCTGCAAGGCAGCAAAAGAGGGATTACAGTGGACGGTGTCCGAATGGTCATCTTCTCAGGATGGATAACTTATTTATTGCCTTCCTTCTGACAATATTTGTAAAACTTGGCAATCTGCAACTGATGGAGTCCAGCTGTAAGTTCAGCTGGGATCCAGATGTTTCCAAATATCTGTACATCTGTTGCTTTAGAGTTGGGCTTCCATTGCATGGCAAGAAAATAGAAGGGAAAATTATTGTTATTGTTTTGCTTCCCTCCCCTTTTCTTTCTCCCCACCAAGTTGGTGAATTAACACCCTGGGGCAAATCAATCAAAGAAATTGGGAACGAGGAGATCTGTGGCGAAATACTTCTCTTATGCATATGCAGATTCCTTTTGCTCTTTAGTTCGCATTTGGTTGTCACCTTTGGAAACGCCACCTCGTTCCTGTATAAGGGAAGCAAAAGAAGGGCCTTGCTGGAAATGAGGAACAGAAAGAGAGGGTGTCCGTGCTAAGTGGGACAGCTGAAACAAATTCAAGAGCCGTCTGAATTTCAGGACGGAGCAGAAAAAAAGTATGAGTTTCTCCCAGGCCAGGTGGGCATGGCCTTCATTTTCCCTCTGTTTCATTTGGCAGCACACTTCCCCCTTGCACGAAATGGCACAGAAATCCTGTCCAAATCACACCTTGGCAGTGGAAAAATAATGGAATTCTCTAAGTCCGTGCTACTAAAAAAACAGTAGTTGAAGGTTCAGTGTGTTCTTCCAAATACTCCCCCATCTTTTTCTTGACTGAGAAAAGTTTGATTCTGTGAAGCTTTTTTTCACACCTCATCAATGGCCTTTAGGATTCTCTTCCTCTTCTCCCTCGTGCTACAGGGGCTTGGAGGGGTTGATTCATGGGCTTAAACTCAGGCGGGTAGCTTCCTTGAATGGCCACCTCACTCTTCTTCAGGTTCTCAGACTGCTGGCTGAGTAGGAGTTGTTTAAAGCAAAGATGTTGACCATTCTCCTTTAAGCATTTCCTGTTGAGATGCCAATTGCAAGAAGAACCGGCTGGACTTTTGCACGAGCAGAAAACATGTCTCGTTCTGCAGGCTGCCTTGACCCGAGGAGAACTCTTGGAACTGTAGAAATGGTGGGGTTGGATTTGCATCTATTTCCCCATCCTTGCTCTGACATGGTAGAAATGTCCTACACCTACCCCCCAAAATGGCAAAGCCTACTTAAAGGTCTTCATCTCCCATCTCTTTATGGAGCAGCCACTTATAACTGTGTTTTGATTCAACCACAATATAACATCATCCCTGATTCTGGAGAAACAGATTGATCTGATGGTTTTCTCTGGCTTTTTCCCCTTTGGAGGCTATATTCTCCCAAGAAGAATCTTCTGGGGAATCCAGAATGGACATTGGCCAAAATGAAGACTTCAATGATTGGAGCAAGAGGGGGAAGGGGGTCTGTCTCTTCATTTGAGTTTTGGTGCTTGCCTGAAGTACTCTTTCAGTCCTTGGATTTTGCTGCCATCTGTCCCAGGTTCATGGGACGGGATGGGGAGTGGCATTTTAGACCTACTCAGAATGGAGATTGTCAATCACTGGAACCGTTTTACCTGTGCGATCCGTGGTCTCTGCATTTAAAAATCGCACTTCATATACCCACAAAAATCCCATCCAGTTTTTTGGACTTTCCTCTTCCCACCCCTGACCTCTGTTTCTACTTTTGCTTTTTAAAAAAAAAAATTAAATGCACCAAGCCCAGCGAAGAATTCTGAAGAGCTCAAAAAAGTTTGCACATTGTGTTTGGCCTATCTGGGTTCTCCCACATTTCCCAAGTATTTCCACTAAGTATGGATCAACTTAAGCAGTCGCTTGTTTTGCTAATATTTTTGGAAGTTTCAGAGTGACCCCTGGTGGCCAGAAGCAATGGCTGGACGGTTGTGTCTCCCAAATAGAAATTTAGAAAGTTCAGAGGAACCCGTGTGATACCTGGATGCAGAAAAGTCTGTGTGTGCAGTGTCTCATTGGGAATATCTTGGTGAGTCTGGGTAATCCACCCTTGGATATTAAACGAACCGGTGACAGTTCCATATTTCTTTCTGCCCCCTCCCTTGTAACCTACCCTGCCCTTGCTCCCCTCCATTTCCCCCTGAATTCTTTCAAGCATTCTGTGGAATGAGAAAAATACACCCAACGGTAGCTGTACTCCGAAGTGAATGAACTTTTGGATGATCATCTCCCTTCTCTTTATGGAGCAGCTACTTATAACTGTGTTTTGATTCAACCACAATATAACATCATCCCTGATTCTGGAGAAACAGGTTGGTCTGGTGGTTTTCTCTGGCACTTTCCCCTTTGGAGGCTATCTTCTCCCAAGAAGAATCTTCGGGGGATTGCAGAATGGACATTGGCCAAAAGGAAGACTTCAGTGGTTGGAGCAAGAGGAAAGCCATGAAGATCAAACCTTTTCCTCTCTTTCTCTTCCTTTCCTTTGGAGAAGGTTGGTAATGGGAAGCCCCCTTAGATGATGGCCATGTTTGAAACCTTCTGCTCATCCAACTGATTGTACTGTTTTCTTCTTTTTTCTTACTTCTCCTCTCTCCATTCCAGCTACCCCTTTTCCTCTCTGGTCCAGCTGATCATTTATAGAAGGCTGTTGAAATAATCAAAAGACCAGCATTTTTGCCACAGACCGGGTTTCCTGAAATGAGGCATCTCCAAAATGTAGTTTACAACCCTGGCTTTTTTTCACTTGTTCAGACTGACTATAATTTTTGATTTCGACATAAGAA